AATGAAATAAAAGATCTAGAGCGTCGCCAGGACACAAAAGCCGAGATATTTAAATGCAGAAATTATATTCCCTTTTTTTCTCCTAATGCCTGGATGACTTTCCCATTCATTTCATTTTGATACTTACATATATATGTAGCAATAATTTTATTTTTATTTTATTCATTATACGAATACAATTGTTTTATTTGTACATAAACTACTTAAAATTAAATAATAAAAAAAACTTAAATAATTTCACGTTATTAAAAATGTGTTTTGTCATTTATATTAAATAAATTTCATATTATCTTCTGACCATGTACTTAGAAAATCTCTTTGCATCTTGTCATCGATATATAGTCATTATCAAGCTTATTTCACTAGAATGATTTTCTCTGATTAATATCGAGTGGAAACCTGATTACACGATTAAGGTCGAATACTATACACTCTAGCGAAAATATAAAGTTAAATTTATTAATAATATTTAATAGCTAATTTCGTACAAATTTATAATTAACTAATTTGATTTTTTAAATTATTAGTCAAAATTTTCACTAAATATTTTTTCTATAAGTTAAATTTCTCTAATAAAATTAGTCGAATTAATAATAAGTAGAAAAAGAAATATTAAAATTTAAAAAATTTGATTTAATACTGATTTTAGAATTAGTATATTTTATTCACTCAGGTGAAATATATTTTTTTTTTAGGGGGGAAAAATAAAAACAGTCAAGATTTAAAAGTGTTTACATAAGAAAAGAGCTTGGGAATGTTGCTAGGTCAAATTAAATTGTAGCCTTAGGCAAACTAAAATATGGTCCCGCCATGTTACCCAAACTCAAAGAAGGTTGTCGAGCTAAATATTTACTAAAAGCCTGAAGATATTTTTTTTAAATACTTATTCTTGTTTATAAACGTATGTTTTCGCCAATTTTTTTTTTTTCAAAAATTGTTTATTACATTTCAGGAAAATACCTATTTTATATATATACATTCATCAAAAAGAACAATTTGTTTGAATTTACAAAAAAAAAATTTTCTATCAATTTCGATGTTTTATATTATTATTTTTATTTATTATTTATTATTATGTTACTTATTGTTATTTATTATTTTTTATTGTTTTTTATTTTTTAAAAAAAATTGTAAATAAATAAATTAATAATAAATAGTATATATTTCTAATAGTATTGAAATTAAAGGGTTACTAATTAACTTGAGGTCTTTACTAAACTGAAAAAAAATTGAGAATATGCAAAATCCTTGTTAATTGAACAGCTTAATTAGCAATGAGCAAAAAGAAGCTTAATGTTAATTTGCGAGAATTGTATGCAAATAAACTGTTTCTCTATACACGTTTAATATTAATTGTTTACGAAAGCGGGAATTTTTTTCCACGCAATTAAATTCTTTAATATATATAATACACATTGTAAATTTTTAATTGCCAACTTCTTTTTTGTCTAATTGACACTTTTTTTAATTTAATTTTTTTAGTTTAGTTTAGAAAAATTTTAATTTCACTAATTTAAATTAATACTGATCACTAATTTACTAATTGTTTAGTAAATTACAAATATGATATATTTTACACTTGATAGTATTAAGTATTAATTAATATAAATAAATTTATTATGACATTGAGTTCAATTAGATAGAAAATAATTAATTGCCAACATGGAAAATGTAACGACGTATAATTAATTTCTCATTGAATTTATTATTGATGTTGATGGTGCGGATTAATTGATTTAAAGGCGTGCAAAACAATAGTGGTAATTTGCATTAATTACCGTAACAATTGTTCACAAATTAGCAATTTCTGCAAAATATTTAGAATATAAACAAACATATTAGTTTAATTGCTTTTGATAAAGGTATAATGAGATTAATAAAATAATATAAGAAAACTAAATAAATAAAAAATTATTATATTAAAATTATTATATTTTTAAACTTTTTTTTTATATTTTATTATTCTTTTGTTGAATAAAAGAAATGTTGCAATGTTATAAAAAAAGAATATATGAGGGTGGATTTGCTATATGTGAAAAGTTGCTGCGTCATCGCTTATCATTTGTAACCGCGAATACGAAAACAGTATACTTTTGTGCATGGTTTAACATGAATAGAGCATATATGATAACTTTATTGAATGCCGGATATGCTCTCATATCGTTTCTTTGTGAATCCCTTTTCAACTTACAGTACTTGAGACAGTCGTATAACCAAACATTTTATATACATATGTATATATAGATATTTTTGTAAGCGAGCCAAATTTTTATGCACTTTACATTTCTTAGATATGAGACTATTTTTCCAAGCGATGAAAGCGTAACTTTCTTAAAAAATTTTATCTCGTTTCATCCATAAATTTATCGCGCTTATATATATATATACCGAGATGAATAAAAAAAAAAAAGCAATTTTTTTTTTCTGACCGAAAGAACATATATGATCCATTTCAAATTCACTTTAGGCCTCGGATTGTTCGACTTTAATTTTGTATTTTTGTGAATTTTATTTCTAAATAAAAACAATGTTTTATAGGTGATTTAATGAAATTAACAGGGAACATTATTTCTCATTTGCCTAGTATTGCGAAACAGGATCAGTTAGCGGATACAGTTCGTTGACGTTATATTTTTCTTAATTACCTTAAAAAAAAAAATGCCAACACGGTAGTCATTAATTATAAAGATAATACGGACCAGTAAATCACAATAATTATACTCTCTATTAAAAAAAAAAATTGTCTCAGTTACACATTTTCTTCTCTTCTATAAGAAAAAATATTTTCAAATCAGAATTTTTTATAAAAGAAAAAAAAATCGATTGAAAAATATTTTTTCTCCCCTTATAAATATTTTGTCAGTGTCAAAGGAAGTATTAGTCGTTCACGGAAATGAGAGAAAGATTATCGATACGATATTTGTGATATGGTTTTTGTTCACATTTCATCTCCCCCCTATCATCAAGTTAACATATACGTATACAATAGTAATATGTGTGCGTCGATCACACCTAAAAAGAAAATTGCCAATTCTTGTCACACTCTATGAAAAAAAAAATGGAAAAAAAAACACATTTTATCGTTCAAAAGTAAATTTCATTCAAAAAAAAAAAAATTCATTCCTTTTTTTTCCAACTGTCACGCAGTCTGTCTCTGAATTGGAAACATGCAAACAAAAAATGTATTAGATATGCAAATTAAGAGAAAAAAAAAAAGAATAGAATTTTACTAAAGAAAATTAAAAAAAAAATCTGTGGATAAAAAAAAATTGAATGGGAAAAAATTTAATTAAAATAGAAAAAAAACAAATTGTGACTTGAAAATATTAGCTTTTGTATTTTTGATTCAATTTCATGTGAAGTGTTCATATGTGTATTGTATTTGAAATACGCGTCCTCGATTGGTTTCTGGTTTCCGCTTGTGACACTTCGATGTGCCAGTAAGCCCTTTAGACATTGGCAAGTTTCCAACAAATTATCCCCCATTTCTCTGAGTGCCTTTTGAGCTTTTCTTCTGTCGTTTCTACTTGTTCTAAAATCCTGTTATTTGTCTCTATTTTTTTTTTTTTAATATTGAAAATTTATCGAAAATTCTGTGAAAAAATTATCAAGTTATATGATTGTATTATGAAAGAAAAATCGAAAATAAATTTTTTTTTCAGAACAGATTTTAAAATTTTACCATTAAATTTTTTTAATTTTGTAAAGTTAAAAAAAGTTTTCTTCACTAAAAAAAATTGTACTCAAGACAAACTTTTACTTGAAAGTCGTCAAAGTTTTGAAATGTTGCTTTTCATTTTCGGTGAATTTAAATATAGATATAAATCTCTGTAGTGAAAATTAGTTAAACAAATAAGAAAGGAAATGTTTGAGTTTTAGTAGCTTTTAGTTAAGTCTGGCCTGGCAATTACTTAGGACAGTTAATATTTGCCTTCTTGTTATAGCCCTAACAGACCATTTTCCTTCGTGTCGTCATTTATATTCAAATTCAAAATTCAAAGTGCGGATGAATCGTGAAATTGAGTTAACTTCTCGTCACCCCACGAGAGATTTAATGAACCCAGAGAGTCACAATTAAAATTTTTTGTAAATCAATTTACAAATAAAGAGAAGTTTTGACAGAAATGGAAAAATCAAATATCTAATTACGTCGAGTGTGTTTTTATTTCTAGATAGCAAAATTAAAACTAATAAATTCAAAAGTTTTTTAATCAATTTCGTTAAGTTTATTTGACTCTATTTTTCAATTTTTTCCAAAAAAGCCCTACAACAAAATTTACTTAAAATATATATTTGACATTTTATAATTCGTAAATATTTAAAAAAAAATTCAGAAAAAGATTCAAAATCTTAAATAATAAATTTTCTTTTTATATAAAATTTAAATATTTTATATTCAATCGTTTTACAAAGATTTCAATAATAGTGAAAAGTCATCCATTTTACACGTTTTCTTTTCATCTTCTTTCACTTTTTCCCAAGGTACTGGATATTTATCAATCGCAAAAGATCAATACAATTTGTGTTCTAAACTTTAAATCTAAATACATCTTTTATAAGAAATTTATTATCATTCATAAATATTTTCCAGACATTATGTTCGCAACAATGAATTACAAGTATAAATAAATAAAAAAAATTTTTCTCGAAATTTAAAACGTTTATTTAGATCAAATAAATATTTATTTAAACCAAATAAATCCCTGAGTGATATTGGAAAAAAACAATCTATTTTATTAAAAACCAATTTGTATGATTAAAAAATATTTAAACGAAAAATTGTAATTATAATCCGATAAAGTGGAATGAGATGATATTTTGGAAATTCACTAGCGCGTATATGTGAAGAGCCCATAATATACACGGATCATTGAATCGTGAAAAATGATCATGATCCCTTGATCGATTTTATTTGTCAAATTTATTATTTACATATATAATGTGAAATTATTCAATATTTTGGTATATAAATTTATTTTCGGTCTTATATTTTATTACAGGCGTTACTTCAAGCGCATGACGTGGCTGGCCACGAGGTCTATGGAGAGGAAGCAACGAGGGTCACTCCACCACCTCTTCTACCGTACCTGAACGGCAGTGATGACCTCGAAGGGCAAAACGGTGACCTAGACCTCGAAAATGTCACTCGTGTCAGGCTAGTTCAATTCCAAAAGAATACGGACGAACCCATGGTAAATTTTTGAAATAAAATTGATTTTTTTTTAAATTACATTCCTTTTTTATTTATAAATCGTAATAACTTTTTTCATTAATTTTTTTTTTTATTCAACAAATATTCTCTCTATCCGGAAAATTTGAAATTAACGAATGTGGATTATATATGAAATTAATTTTGTTTTCAACTTTTATGTAATTTTACAAATTTCAACTATTTGAGAAAAGTTGTATTTTAAAAATATTTTATAGTTAAAGTTATTAAACCGTTTTTCGCTGAGAATTTAAATCTACTTTTTATTTGAAAAGTGTATTTTTTGTTACAAAATACATATATAAATTGTATGCTTTCAGGGCATTACGTTGAAAATGAATGAAGATGGAAAATGTATTGTAGCAAGAATTATGCACGGCGGTATGATTCACAGGCAGGCTACTTTACATGTCGGAGACGAAATTAGAGAAATTAATGGAATTCCAGTGGCGAATCAGTCTGTCAACGCTCTACAGAAGATACTTGTAAGTCTTTTCTCTTTTTCACAATTTTTTATCCTCACTTTTTGTTTTCAATTTTTTTTTTTTTTTTTTTTTTTTAACGAAAATTATTTCTAATCGAAAAAATTGTAAATTTAGTAATAAATAAACAAAAGAAATAATTATAAACGAAAAAAGAAAATATTTGCGATAAAGTTAGATTTTATTAATTTTTTTTCAAAATTACAATATAATTGAGAGAATATCCCAATTTTCATTAGTTTAAAACAATTCAAAAATATTAATCATTAATTGTAGATATTTTGCTAATTTTTAATATAAGAAATGAATATTATTTGTTTTTTGTTTTTCGTATTTCAGCGAGAAGCACGTGGATCAGTTACCTTCAAGATAGTGCCATCATACAGGAGTGCGCCGCCTCCCTGCGAGGTACAAGTAAGCCCCAAAATCCGTGACCACTCCCCAACCCTCACTACATTTGATATTACTACTATCACTACCACCACTGCAACTACAACTTCCACCTCGATAGAAACAATTCACAATTCCGCGTCTAATCAAAAATCAATGAATCCCATTGCGAGTAGCTCTAAGGAAAAACCCGTGAAATCCCAAAAAACAGGAAAGACAAAAAGCACATCCTCATCTTCCGATTCTACACCGCGACGTCGTTTAGTAAATCCACTTTCAGTTCTTCGTTCACGAAAATCTCACACTTAAAATTATTCACGCTCGATTAGACACAAGATTCGTTGGAACTATACATGCATATAGTTTATAACTATTGAATCATTTGCTCGAACTTCCACCTTAAAATTGAAGGGAGAAATTTATTTCAAAATTCAACCGTTTAGTAATTTATAATATCCAAGATTCATAGTTTCATAACTACTATGACTTTTTTTTTTTCTCACAAAATGAAACTTATCTTGAAACTTTATTTGTTACATTTGAAATTCATTTCAACTTGCAAGACATAACGAGGGGGAATTTAGAAACTTTTAATTAAGAAATTAATTAATTTAAATAGAATTAGTTTTGTTTTGTAAATTTATATTTTTGAAAAAAATATAATAATCAAAATATGAAAAATTCTGAAAAAGAATTAATATAAAAATGAGAAGAATAATATAGTAAATATAAAAGAGAATAAAATCTAATAAAAATAATAAAAGTAGTAAAAGCAAAATATTGGGAATAAAATATTGTTTCTTGTGTTATTAAATAAATTTTATTCAATATTCCATATTAGCAAAGAAATGTAGATTTTTCAAAAGTTTTTTTTTAAATATATTTTTAATAACACTTTTATCTGTAAAAAGAATTTTTGAATAAAAAGCAATAATAATTGATAAAGAAAGACATTTGTAACAAAGAAGTTAAAGCACAGAGTTTTATCAAAGTTATAAATAAATTTTAAATTTTTCTTTTTTAATTATCAATTTCAATTTTTATTTTCTAAAAATAAAATAGTATACGAAATTAAGATTGAAAGAAAATTTAACCACCAATCGCAGAGTTTATGGAATTTTCTCTTGAAATTCTTTTTTAAATTTTTTATCATTCATATTTCTATATGAAAAAAAATCCTTTGTAAGCGATAGTCTTTCGATGGTGAAACAATTTGAAATCAAATAACCCAAATATTGAAAATACACGGAAAAATTTTTTTTGACTAAAATATTAGGTTACTTGATTGTTATCAAATAAATATTATTTTTACTATTTATTTATAAAAATTATTTAATTCAAGAAAAATATTTATTTTGATAATAGTCAAATATTTGAATCAAATAAATATTTTTCCTGTGTATAATTTTTATATAATTTTCATTTTCTGATAGGTATTTTAATGTAGGTATTTAAATTTTACAGTCAATTACGATATATATCAACTGTAAATTCAAGCCTCTATGAGGAAATTAAATTGACTCGTTATCTTGATCTAGAATTCTCAGTGGAGACTAATTTCTCGAGGATTGCCCGAGTAGTTTTGAAACTTAATTTCGTATGCCTAAAATGTTAATGGATTTAGTACAAAGTGAAGGAAAGTGATTCGAGTTGACAATGGAACTACGAATTCACGATACCTTTGATTATATCCTAGTTGATCTCAAACAACGGAATTAATTACGACGAACGTTCAAATATTTAATCTTGAATCTTGCCTGTTTTTTAAATTTCATTTACTATATTAAATTTCTTTGTAACTTTTTCAATTTTATAAAGTTACACTATTCTTAAATTATTTCTGAACTAATTTCAATTCTTTTTTCTCTAAATTAACTTCAAGTCCCAAAAAAATTTTAATTTGGCTAAAAACTAATGAAAAAATATTTTTTTTTAGGGGTGGAAGTTCTCGAAGATATGTAAAATATTTTGAGAAAAATTGTTTAATTTCAAAATAACGACAGAAATTGATAAATTTAATGGAAATTTTCGGTCGACCAGTAAAAAAAAGAATGATACATTTTCTATTAACGGAAACAATATTTGTTATTTTATTTTCGTATTTTGATAAAATAAAAAATCGATTTTCTATTGCATCTGCTTTTAAAATTCTCTTACACATACACACACACACATACACTCGCCTCAATTTTAACCTGGGGCAAAATGATTCCTGTTTATAGGCACCGTGTAAATATCGATAGCAAATTTTATTTCATTTCTACGGAAATTTCGATTCTGCAATTCTGCGCTCTCAATCGAAAAAAAGTCATTTAAAAAATAATTTTTCATTTAGCACATAGATAGTTATTTGAAAAAAATATGCTTTTTTTTTAATTTAGTTAATTTTGGAAATACTTTCTAAAAAAGACTCTAGTCAACTGAATCTAGTCAACTGAAGCTAATCATTTTTCAAAAAATAAGTATCTAATATGAAATAGAATTGGTAATTAAACGAATAATCTGTTGAATTAGTTTTAATTTTTGTTTAATCAAATTTTTTTTTAAACAAATTTGAATAAAGCTTTGTTTAAATTTTCTTATATTATGGTATTATGTAAGTTGAATTTAATTGCGAATAGGAAATTATTTATTCATAAATACTTTCCTAAAATACTTACATAATATCTAAATATTCCCTAACGAATTTTAGAGTATAATTAATCTCAATAAGTGAATAAAACAATAAATTAATGAACTGATAAGTAAATAAGATGATAAATTTAACGTATTAAAAAATTGTTGAATTAAAAATTAAATATATGGACTGTAACGTAATTTTTTTGTCGTTTCGTTTTCGTGCTTGTGATTGTTTTAATTTTAATTTCTTTATTATTTTTGTTTTTTTTTTTTGTTTAAAATATAAAAATTAACGTTTTGGAGATTATTTTGATGAATTATTATTATCGGTTGTAAAACGGAAAAGTTTAATTCCCAGAATAAATTCTCCACACAAGTACACTTCCATTGCTTATTCTATTTTTTTTTACTTTTTTTTTTCTTTTCTGTCTCTGAGTTTGTTTTTTACCTTATTATTGACTCGCATCCTTCAAAGTTTGCCTATAATGTTGAAATTACACGTTAAATATATATATAAATATTCTTTTATGATTAATTGAACATAGAACGTTGCTTCGATTGTCCATTGTACGAAGAGTGCATGATTATTATATATATATATATATAATATTTCTTTGTTTTCTTAGGATTATGAATAATAAATATATATATATATATATAATTAATATATATTTAAATATATTAAGCACGGCTCTCTGCTCGTTTGATTGTTTATATTGCGTGTCTACGTTCACGTAATTTATTAATAATTATATACATATATAGATCTTGATATTTATTGAGCATTGCTCTACGCAATTGAAGTAAATTTATATTTATACGCGTGTATATCGAGAGTTTGAAATTTGCACAGTTTGTATTTTACGCAAAGTTTATTGTCCTAAAAAAATAGGAGAAATGGTGTAACAAACGCTTTATAGTAATTTTTATCATATATAAGTGCATGTTATATATAGATTTTTTTTTTTTTTTCGAAAGCAAAATTTGGTGAGGGTTTTTCAAGTGTGTATAAAAAGTTAATGATATTTGAAAGTTTGTTGATGAAAAAAAGAGAGAAAATGCTTATTCCATTTTTTATTCAACATCGTTTGATGTCAAAAATAATAAAGCTTTTGTTACACCAAAGATTACCCTCACCTGCATGAAGGTTATATTCACAAAAGGCTTTTTTGTCGATGGCTCTTTGCATCGTGATAATAACAAAACAATCGATTCGACCTATCAATCAAAAGACATAATTTATATACTTTCTTTAAAAAAGAAAATTTGAAATTTTTTTCCAAAGAAAACAATTTTTTTGAGAAAATATAATTTTACCTTTTCTTTGAAATTATAAGATAATTTCAATTTTGTTTAAAATCTCCGTAAAATTGAAAGGGTGACATTTTTCAATAATCTCGAATAGGTTTTTAATTATTTTTTTTTTCTAAAAATATAAATTTTCTACAAAAAACTCATGCAAGTGAGGGTATAATTTTTAGATCCAAATCTTGAATTTTTTTCAAGATAGAAAATTGACGTCCTTTTTCAAAAAAAAAAAATGGACGTTTATTGCTTTAAGTGTTGAACAAAAAAAGTTATCTTCTAAAGATTAACTATATAATAAAGATATATATTCTTTATTGACGTCACAATTGTACGCCTAAAAGAAAATCTAGTCACAAGTTATAATCTTCAATGAAAAAAAAAAAAAAAAATTTCTATGTTATTACAACGAATACTCTTCATGACGAGTAAAGGCAAAGATCTGCATTGAAATTTTTTCTGATTTGTATATGAAAAAATATTGTAGTTACATTGTATTCCTGTAAATGTTTTAGTATATTCTAGTCGATGTCATATTTGACAAAAAAAAAAAACTATATATGAATTACCATTGTGTAAGTATCTTATATAAAACGTTGAAAATAATTCTTCGTTTTATGACAAAAATGACTGAAAGAAATTCGATGAGATTATTTTCATCAGAAATAAATAAGAATTCGCCTAAACTCTATGTAAATAGAAAGTGCCAATATTTTTATTTTCAAAAAAAAAAAAAAATTATCTAAAAAAATATTGGTAATTAAAATTTGATTGGGAAATATTTATTTTCCAAAAAATAAATTTTTATAGTCAAATATTTATTAGAGGGAAAATTTTACAATAGTTTAGGTGATAAATATATATAATTAATAATCAAAATAATGAGCTGTGAGACGTTTTAAATCGTTTTTCTCATTTTTTTTTTTTTTTTTTTTTTGCTCCATTTATATTTCAGTCTCAGACTGATTAATAATAATTAATATAAAAGCAATTGTGCCGGATTTATTCTTAAGCAGCTTACGGCTCATTAAAGAGTGGCCGTTTTAATGGAGACAGTCAAAGACCTCGATATTTTGTCCTGAATTGGAAAAAAAAAATCTTGAATTCGTTATTCGAATCATCAGGAATCATTAATAGGATCGATGCAATAGAAAAAAAAAAAGAATTTTCATATTTTCAAACTGAAAATTAAATGGAAATAAATTGAATTTTTTTATTGGTTTGATCTTTTTTAAGGGTTTTTTTATTGAAAAATGAATTCAAATTTTTTGACATATACGTTTTTATTAAATAAGCAAGCAGATTGTATTGGGTCTTAGATTTAATATGACGTCTCCGTCTTTTTCCCACTTAATAAGCTATAAATAATTAAATAAATGTACATTAAGCTGCCACATATTTAGAAGAAGAATGTCATTATTTGCGGCAGCACATTGTACGAAGACATAATAAAGCATGAACTGCAAAAATATTGCGTTGAAGCACGTCGCCTATAACAGTGACCTCCTTTTGTGTCGTAGAAATAGTACAATAATACCAGACTGATATGTCGCACTTTGTACATCATTATTCGCACAACACGTCAGTGTCGTCAGTCCATTGTCTATATATTTCCAGTCTGTGACACCATATATATATTACGTTTTATCAAAATATCCGCAATCCCGTACTATTCTGCACGAATTCCCATTCCTCTAATTCTCATAACGAGAAAATCAATTTTCACATATATATATATATGTATAAAAGAATCCTTTTTATTTATCTTCTTCAAACGAATATACCCTCTCTTTCCTTGAAGACGTTTATCTTCAAAAACCTTCAACTCACTTTTACCTTGAAGATAAAAGGTGAATTTATACTTTGAATGCTGAAACGTTCGTTTTACAGAATTGTCGGTTCTTTTTTTTAAAAAAAAGAAAAAAAGTTGAATTTAGAAACATTGAAAATTTTTATGCTTTTTAAAAAAACTGATTTTTATTTGTAACACGAATTAAAATCGGTTGAATATTATTTATTGTGGCTTGTAAATTTTGTAATATTCAATTTTGTTAAAGTGATTCATTTTTTTTGTTTCCTTTAGAAACAATTGAGAACAGTAAATTAATTAAAAACAAATTTATTTAATTCAAATAATTTTAGAGAAACCACAATAAATGATATTATTAATTAAAAATTTCCAATATTAAGATTTGAGCGGAAAAAATTTTTTATTTTCAAAATCAAAAATTGGCAGTAATTTTGAAAGATTTCCAAATTTCGTCATAATTTTTAAAAACTAGAAAAAAGTAGAAAATTTAAAAAAAAAAATTTTTTTTGTGTTGCGCTTGAATTGTCTTGAAAATTAAAAGAATTTTCTTGTATCGAAAAAGTAATTGTTGCAGTTTGCCGGGACAATTTAGGTAATGTTGTGTATCTGTGTTTATATATTGTTGTTGCCACATCATTAATCATCTAATCATCACGGAGGCACAAAAAAAATTATTAAAAAAAAAAAAAAAAAAAAAACGTTGCAGTATCAGACGAACGATGTTTAAAAAGCGATGTCTCTTCAAATACCGATTGTTACTTCGGTAATTGAATATCGTCGATTCGACAGAGAAAGCAACTTGTACGTGCGCAACAAATAGCAGCAGTCAGTCCACCAGACAAGTTATATATATATATATATTATGTTTACATATATATATAAATGAGTACCTGCTATTCACTGTGTAGAAAATTTATACATCTATTCCTATTTATCATTTCATGTCTTTTATATTATCAAGTGTTTTTAAAAAAAATTCCTACAGCAAAATAATATTTTTTTTTGTCTCTTTCACGTATTCCTCCCATAATCTTTTTTCTTCAAATTGATTGTATTTTGTAATTTATTCAATGACTTTGAAATGTTAAATTAAGGAAGATTCTTTCTTTCTTTTTTTTTTTGATAAAAGAAAATTTTATAACAAAAGAATCAAAGAATTAAAAAATGAAAGATTCATCCTTAACAATCTCATTTCTCAAGAGAGATCCACCCGCATGTCGGATAGAATTATCTTAACAGACAATTAGCAAGTTTTTATAAAAGAAAAATTTTCTCTCCGACACAAAGGTGTGATTTTAAAAAAAAAATTTAACCACATCCCCCCCCCCTGAAAAAATATATATAGTTTCCAATTGTTTCCTAAAATTGTAGATATGGTAGTTTCTCTCCACCTATGCACGAAAAAAAAAAAATAATAATTCGCGAAGACGTCATCTGGCGTTTTATATAAAAAAAAAAATCTGAAAATGCATTATTTTGAGAAAAAAAAAATTGCTTGCTAACTGCGCTTGCTCGTTACAGGGGGAACATTTCTGAAACCCATTCAGTAGCTGATAAACGCACCTCATCCATGAAGATAGTTGGGCACTAAATGAAGGCAAAGATCGCCCCTCCCCCCCTTATTTCCCCTTTCAATAGTCTCGTAAACCTATCTGCCTAAAGCAATTTCCTTTTACGACCCAATTGTTGGCGGAGCTTTATTGTTAGCTTAAACTTCACCAGACATAACATTCCACGCATGATGGAAATAACTTCCCATCATCTGACAGCTAAATTAGAAAGCAATAGTATAGCTTCACTATACAATATATATATATATATGAAATCAGTCAGTTTCACCAGACAGAATCAATTGCTTCATAAACGAAATTCATAGCTTCACTATATGATAAATTTATAGCTTCATTATATGATGAATTTATAGCTTCATCAGTTGCTATTTATAGCTTCATCAGTTGCTATTTATAGCTTCATTATCACACGAAATTAATATAGCTTCATTATCACACGAAATTAATAAAGCTTCATTATACACTAAAATAATACAGCTTCATTATTCATGAAATTGTTTTAGCTTCACTGTATACATATATAAAATTAGTAGCTTCACTTTACACAGGATTAGTAGCTTATATAAATAGAATCAATAGCTTCACTATTTCATTTCAAAAGCATTGCACATGAAAATTAGTTTTGTAGTTTTGCCATTTTTTTCATCAATTTAAATGACAATTTTCATTAACAAAAAAATTTTAATCAAGAATGAGAAATTCATATATCAATCTATCAGCAATGTTCAGTTTTTTTTTTTAAAGCAAATAAAATTCATAAACGAATGGGTCTTGGAAATGAATTTCCACTTTTCGAAAATGCGTTTGTTGACTCCCATCCGAACCTTCTGACTGGAGTCGTAAATTGTAAATCACAAAAAAAAATTAAATTATAAAATTATTTCCCTAAGAAAAAAAATCAAATCATAAAATTTGAAAGAAAATAATATTTAGGGATTATTAAATTCAAGATAATTTTCTACAAAATTGAAAATTTATAAATATTTTCCAACAAATTGAAAATGTAGAATTTTTTTTCTACTAAGATACCAAAAATCCAAATTTTCAGAATTTTTTCAATTAAAAGATTTATTTTATAAGAAAATTATATTATTTGTTTTGAGCTAAAAAAGTAAAAAAAAATTTCCTTTTTAATAAATTGAAGATAATTTTCTCAATTAATTTTTTTGTACATAACTTCACCGGTTAAAAGGTCGGTGAAGATCAAACGACGCGAACGCGTGTTAAAAAATATGACATTTTGACAGTGTGATTGATCGTGTTGTCTATATATGCTGAAAAGATATATTTAATCTTGTCGGTGATATCTGGCACCTAGTATGATCTGCATGTGTCGGATAAGCATTATTAGCCATCTGAAAAAAAAGAAAAAAAAAAAAAATTTGTTAAAAACCAAAAAAAAAAAAAAACGAAAAAAAAAATTAGTCAGGAGGCTGACAAAACTTTTTTTGATCGATTATGATGTGTTCCACGATCGTAATCTGAATATTTCGAAGCCACTCAACGATTTAATAATTAACTTCCTTTTTTCTGTTTCTTCAACACTCTAGTTGTTCAGGATTAGGCCTCTGCCAGTGTTAGTAAGTACCACCACTTGCTCTGGTGTGATTTGACTGCTGTAGTTAGAAGGCTATGCGTTTTACGTCTATAAAACTTCCTGTCCTCTCACACCCCCTTTTTTCTTATATATATATATATCTCTTCCTTCCTTTATCTTCAATTTTACGAATCTTTTTTTCCGTTCTCTTTGTCCCTTGACGATCGTCTACGTTCCTGTTTTTTTTTTTTTTTCTTTTTTTTTAAAGAAAAAGTGGAAAATTCTCGGAATATACTTTCTCTATTGAATTGTTCTCAGTCTACACTTTAAATAAAAAGAAATTTTTTTTAATGAAAGAAAGTATTATTTGTATTAAAAAAATTATTCTTCGATGTAAAAAAATTGTTTTTCAATTTCAAGAATTTTTTTTCTACAAAAAAGGACTATTTTTTTGTGTCAAAGAGGTTTTTTTTCACATCAAAGAAATTAAAATATTTTTCAAATTAAAAAAAAAATTAGAAGCCAATGATTTTTTTTTTTGCAGGAGAAAGAAATCTCATTAAGTTATTTTTTAATTTTTATTTTATGAAAAAAATAGAACTACTTTTTATATACAAAAAAAATAATATTTACAATTTTAGGGAAAATATAAAGAACTGGATAAAATGAATAGAAAAATTGAACAATTTATTGTGATAACATAAAATGAAATTCTTTATTAAGAGAATATTACAAATAATAAATTTTAATAATAATATTAATAATAATTATTATTTATTATATTATTATTCAATACTCTTATTATTTTATATTAATTAATTTTTCGAAAAATCCCATTTCCTAATTTTCCTTTATTAAAAGTAAAAAAAAAAAAAAAACCTTCTCGGCCTTTGTTCGAAACATTGATGTATGTAATCCATTGTTGTACATAATATGAACAATGTGGACTTGAAAACAATTTGTAAATTTTGATAATTAATATTTTACCCAAATCTCCGATAAAAAAATGTTATTAATTAACATTAATAATAATATGTTGTGCTGCAATGAAAAAATTGTTTATGTCAAATAAACTGCGTGTGCTGTTAATGTATTGTAAAATTGATGTAAGCCTAGATGCTTCATTATTTTGATTTTAAATTACAATTATGCCTTTTTTATTGTTTTTTATATTTATTATTATTTTTATTATAGTTGAAAATAATAATGACAATAAACCAAATAATGACGCATCTAGGTATGTTTCTCATTTTTTAAAATGTATATATATATACTCATTTAATGTGCATTTATTTTTATTTATTTTTATTTATTTTCTAATTTTATTGAAATTTTTTTTTTTAAATCTGTTCCGATTTCGAGAGTTTTCTACTAAAATATTTTGAATTAACAATGAACACATCATTGTAAATTCTATTTATCTATCAAATATTTTTATTCCTGTTCCTCTCTCTCTTTCTCTATCTCACACACATACTATCTAAATATTTTTTTCTCTAATTGGCACGTGAATTAATTTTTGTTCTTGATGTTCAAAATATATTTTTTTTTTGTGATATTTTTAATGGTGTTTAATTTATTTTAATAAAATTTAAAATGTAGTGTGTGTTAGAATAATCAAAATTAGATTGAATGCTTTTATTATAAATAATTTTTAACTTCGAAAAAAGCTTGTGAAAAAGTCATGTTTTTTCATTTGCTACTATTGACAAAAAAAGAGTTATGGATATTTTACGAATCAATGCATTGAAAATTTAGATTTTAAAAATTTATTTTTCCACTAGTCGCTTGCATAATATAAAAAATGTGTAACACGCTAAATGGATGAGAAAACTTTTTCCATTAGTTGAAAATAAAAAAAAAATGGTAATAATTTTTATTTATTTATTATTTTGTTCATTAACGATTTTCAAAAAAAAATATGAAAGTTTGATTTCTGTTTTAACTGAAATTGAAAAATATTCTTTTACTCCTTTAGCGTAGTATTAAATTATTTCACTATTTTTTTCGCTTTTGGCGTTGGAATAATAGATTTTTTTTAGATACAGTAGTAATTCCTCTGAATCTCTAAATTTTTCTCAGTTTATCGCTAAATTTTTTTTTTCATAAAATTAGAATTTTTTTTTTCATAAAATTAGAATTTTTTTTTTTACATGACACGCAAACAAATTGTATACATACACATTTTTCTATTACAATATTTTTTTTTTAATTAAAAATGATAGTAGCGGATTTTTTTAAATCTTTTTCTCTCGTCAAAAATTTGTAAATGTTTTTTTATTGCTACAAATTGAAAATAATTGGAAAACAATTTTAGAATAAAAAATTTTTAATGTTAATAAAAAATTTTTGTTTGATGTACATAAATAATTGTATAAAATAATTACACTTTTGCTTACATTAATATATAATGGTGAATATATTAATATAATTTTTCTTTCACGATATTTTTTTTATTAATTTCTTGATTTTCTTTTATGACAGATATTCGTTCGGGCGCAATTCGACTACGATCCATTGGATGATGAATTGATACCATGTGCACAGGCTGGAATCGCATTTAAGACCGGCGATATTTTACAAATCATAAGTAAAGACGATCACCATTGGTGGCAGGCACGAAAAGACAACGCGGCTGGATCCGCGGGTTTAATACCATCTCCAGAACTACAGGAATGGCGAATTGCCTGTCTAGCGATGGAAAAAAATAAACAGGAACAAGGTGAGTTTATACATTCATGTATTGTTTAATCAATTTTTTTTTTAATTAATTAATTATATAATCACGTTTCACAATACACAGCACGACATTATTCACGAGCTTTCATGGAGTTTATATTGAATAATGAAATCACAGAAGGAAAAAAAAAATATTTTTTAATTTCGAAGAGAAAATTTCTTTTGGAAAATTTTTATAATTAAAAACGTTTCGCCAAAAAAAAAAAAAAAATAATGGGAAAAACTGCCAATTAATGTATTTCAATTTTTAACGAGAATTTTTAGAGAGATTCTTCATTAAAAAAAAAAGGAAAACAAGAAAAATAAATGTTATACGTATAATTAGTATAGAAACGAGAAATTGATGTTGTTTTTCATAAAAATAATTTTTAAGGTGAAAATTGATAGAAATTTTGCGGTTTACATATGAATATTTTTTTTATATAAAAAATAGCCTTTAATAAAAAGGCTTTAAACTAGCCCTGTATTATTTTCAAAAAAATTTTTCATAAAAGTAGAAATTTCTATAATTAAAAAGAACTTATGCATTTTTTTTTCTTCATTTATTAGCAAAAGCGAAATGAGAGTTTCAAAATAGCGCCAATTAAATTCCAGCAGATCGCATTTGTTATTTTGTCTATCAAAATAATAGTTCTTATTGATTAAAAGGAAAATTTTTTATTTATTATCAAAATAATTTTATTTTAATTATAAAAATACATTTATTATATTTATAATTTCATACAATAATTAAAATTAAATTGACAATTATTATTTTACAATTATTTTTGAGTCGAGTTTGAACTCCAATTATTTTGTGATCTGGATGTCTAATTATATTTATAATTCTACGATATGTTTATTATTATAATAATAAAATAAAAACCAATGCAGCCACTTGGAATATAATTTCTACAAAAAAAAAAAAAAAAAATATGAAATCGCAGAATAATTTCTCCAGCAATTTTCGTTTATTATTGAACGTGAAAGAATGTCTGTTGCACATGAAATTCGCATGAGGTGTGAAATATGTTTCGTATATATTTTTCTGTGAATGCTAACAAAATGATCATTTTTTTCTCACGAGTTTCACAGCAATAAGGAAAATTAATAAGAACTTGGAATTTATCAGGGAAATCAAAATTTATATAAATTAATTTTGTGCACGTTTATATTTATAAATTATTTGAAGTATTAAAAGAATTAATTAAAATATCAAACGTGATCCAGTAGTAATCAGTAGTAAAAGGCCTTTTTTAGTCAGACAGTATATTTAATTGTTTTGTAATAATACTTGAACAGTCTCTTTGAACAAAATGAAAAATTTGTTAATATATAAAATTCCAGAAAATTTAGGCCCCCCCAAAAAATCATCGTTTTTTTAATTTGGTTTTGTTTTACTATTTTTTTAATATTCTTTTTACTGTTTATCTTCAAATCGAATTTCAGTGCAGTATAAAAAATCAGTTATGAAAGAAAAATATATATATATTTAACCATTTTTATTCATATATGTACATAATATAAAAACTATATTACAAATTATATTACATCTATTGTAAATATATATAATAAAATTTCGAAATACATTCCAATTTTTGTCAGTAAAGCATGAAATATCGATTATTCAAAATTTATAGCATGAAAGAAACGACCTGTAAATAATTTTTTCTACAATAATTTTTTATTATTCCGTATGTCTGAGTTCCGCTATTATTTTCACTTCCAAATTGTAAAATATTGTACATATGGTACCATTATTGATCTTTTTGAGGGAAATTTATTTGTATACAACTTTGGAATATTTTTTTCACATTTTTTTTAAAATTTTAAGACAATGTAATTTAATAATATTCATTTAAAAAAAATCTATAATCAATTTAATTCACTTAAGAAGATATGTTAATTTTTCGATTGAAAGTCAATTTTTTTTTACATTACGAATTTTTTGATTTAACTAATAATCTTAAAAATGAAATGTATCTGAATATCGATTGAGTAATGAAGAACTTTTAAGCATATATATATGTACCTGATTTGGGGTTTTAATGCATTTTTTAAATTAGTTTTTAATGTATCAAACTTCGACCTACTTTTTATATATATTAGATACTCTTCCGTTATATTTTAAAAAGAAAAAACGTTTATGTAAAAAAAAACAACTTTTACGAAAGCTTCAAATCATTTTAGTGAAAAAACCCTGTAAGAAAAAGTTTTTAAAATAAAATTTAATCTTACATTTTCCTATAAAGACTAATTAATTTGGTTTTCTTTTTTCGTTTGATATATACCGTGTCTCTGATAAAAATAAGTTAAAAAACAATTTCTTTTAAATTAAAGTATGATAAATAAAATAAATATTTTTCTTTGAAACATCGGAAAAAAAATATACAATTTTTTCACTAATTTTTCTGGGAAAGTAGATAATTTTTTGATTGTAAATAATTAAATGGCAAAAGACATGACGTTGTTGTATTTTGTGCGGGGCTAGACACTGAAGGAGAAGGAGGATGTTCGTCTCACACCGAAGGCTGCGATGGTTCGACAGGTACGATTCTGTCTGCAGCTGTAGAAAAAACTGCAGTCACTTAGGTTTCATGTAGAAGCATGTATTATACACACAATAAAAAAATACCGACAAGACAGAAATTTAGAAAAATCGCAAAATATTTGTTCAAGAAAAATATTCTTTCCGTAATATAATTTATCCCTCTTCTCATCTCTTTAGAAACAATTACATATATAAACGGAGAATAAATGAAATTTTTCATAAACAGGACAAAAATTGTAATTTAAAATTGATATAAAACGTCAAAAATGTATTTGAAAATTGCTACATTGTAAGTGATTCGAGAAACGTGCACTTTTCCTATACACTTGCTATATATATAATTCATACATATATGAGACCGATACGACAAAGTGATGAAGAAGAATGGGTTTAAAAATTTTCTCCTCCAAGCAAAAAAATTGATCGTATATATAATGTGTGAAAATTTGTATATATCTGAAATGTATCAGAAAAATATGTTCCTGAACATAAAAGCGCAGATAAATGTCAAAAAAAAAAAAAGATGATAAAAAATATCTTTTTTTAAAAATACATTTTTTTTAAGGGAGAGAGTATGTACACTACAATAATACTGAATGTTAATATAATGTTGAAATATATTCTGAGGATTGTTAATTATTCGCGCATGTCATATTTTTCTTTTTTATTTGGGTAATAAGTTTCTTCGAATATCAGAAACAGAATTTTTTTTTTATTATAAATTTTGCGTTAAATTCATATTAATTGATAATTATAATTAATACCATAAAATTAATTTCTGATTCCGGAGAAGCTTGAAAAAATTGTGAAAGTTTTTTTTGTTTCGACAATATATATATATACAGGTGACAGTTGTGTATTTGCATCAATGAATATTTATCAACTTTTGACTGCTAACGATTAGAAAACAACAATGGAAAAAAATATAGAATGCTTTTATGTATATTAAACTCCATGCTTATACATTATAAATATAAACGCATCACTCTAAGTTGAGCTTGTTAAGCGTAATGTTAATATATTTTAAGCTTCTTGGCACGAATCCTTTTTGCAAAGAGTATCATTCATGGCACAGTATTTCATACCATTCACGCATTTTGTCATGCATAAATATTTCCTTTTCATTCTTCTTTTTCACGATTTGTGAACTGCTGGAACATCTTTTTTTTTCTTTATTTTTTAACGAGAATTCCGAGCTGCGATTAAAAAAAAAAAATAACAGGTTTATTAAATTTGAATTTTCTCGATGAAATTTAAAAAAAAACAACGCACGAGAAATTTCAAATTTACCTGAAAATTGAAAAAAAAAAAAAAAAAAAAAAAGAAAAACGATAGCTCGACTACTCGTGTGGCTTCCTGAGAAATGGCTTTTTGAAAATAAAAGTGGCTGTGAAACACTGATTGATTATTTCACTTAGGTAAATTATAATAAAAAATAAAAGCTTTCGAATCTCTCATATCCGACGTAGAAACACTGTATTGATGCTGGAAGCGCACTTTTCGCACTCATTATGTTTTGTAGGGTTCAATTATTGTTAAAATATATTTAATTATTGATTTCTATTCTAGGTATAATTTATTGTTTCAGCTGACAGCTTCTTTGTTCATTTATATTTATATCATAAAATGCTGATTTTCAAAAATTAATATGAAAAAATATTGAAATTATTAAATTCTATCATTTAAAAATACAAATGTTGAAGAAATTTTAAATCTACTTTGAACAAATTTCAAAGTTAATAATTTATTTACTTTTAAAATTAATTTTACAATTTTTCGAAAATTTCCGCTTTTTTTTATTAGGCTAGAAAATAATAATCAAATTTATATAACAAAATTAAATTTTTCAAGTTGAAATTTAATTAAATTTTTAATTGATTAATTAAATTAAATAATTAATTTCAAATGAATGCTAATAATCTTTTATTTTTTACAGTAAATTGCTCAATATTTGGCCGGAAGAAGAAACAATATAAGGATAAATATTTAGCGAAGCACAATGCGGTCTTCGACCAGCTGGATCTGGTCACATATGAGGAGGTCGTAAAGCTTCCCTGTGAGTATTAATTTAATAAATTGATTCGATAATAATATAAAATAAGGGGGGAGACACGAAATTGATTCGCTAATGATTTAAAAAAAGGGGAGACACGAAAATAGTTAGTTCTGTAGTTATTAATGTCAATATATATAGAGAGAGAGATTGCGATATTAATATTGACCTCTGAATCACAAATCGTATTTTTTTCTGTTTGTTTTATCAATTGACAATATTGCCCGATTTTCTCGATTACTTCTGTGATAAATCAAAATTGCCGAACAGCTATATGTGCCTGCAAATAACCAAAGAATGTGACATTATATGATTCATAGGATTTATATAATAAAAAGGCATAACTTTTAGCTTGAAAGCACTTCAATATATTTTTTTTATAAATTGTCAAAACGGTTAAAAATTTATTACAATAATAATTTATCAATAAATCGTCAACTTTTTGAATGTAAATTTTCATTTTTTTTTTAACTTTCGTTTTAATTATGATTTATTAGCAGAACTAAATTAAAATAATTTAAACATCTATTTTTTTAATTTTATAATAATAATTTAAAAATGAAAATTTAAGTCAAATTGAATTTTGAAAAGTATTATTTTAGATTTTAATGAATTTTGTTAATTTGGTTTAGGGAATGAACGGGAGATAATATTATAGTGCGCTTCAAATTACTTTAACTCTGAACATAATTTAGACGTAAGTCCAAAAATGATTGATGAATTGTGTGGTCAAATGTTTATTTTCTTTTACTTTTTGGATTTGTATGAAATAATAATAATTAATACAAAAACATTTATTTCACATGAATTATTAATTCATTATTTTACTGAGTTTATATGTTTTAAATTACTGAATGCAGTGTTCTCATTAATTTTATGCACTTGGAGAAATTTGTGTTGCAAACAAATAACAGATATTAATTTTTGACTAATAAATTTTAACATCTGAATTTTACGTTATAAAATGAAATATTTCGTTATAATTACACGATGTGTGGAATAATTTAATGTGAGATTTCACGTTATGATATTTTATTCAAAAAGTTGCGTGCGTGTGTTTTCAGAAAATAAAAAAAAAAAGAAAACTAAGTTGGTTGTTTCATTTTTCACCGTTGAAAAGCAATTTTCCAACAATGCAATTAAACGGATTTCTTTTTTGCAAATGTCCGCAGAATTTAGACAATGAAACAATTGACAATATATTGAACAAAAGTTGAGTGATTTTGAGCTTTTAAAAAATCGTTGGAGTAGGATTTATTTTTCAAGAGTATATAAATACATTCGACATTTGGATTTACTGTGTGACTTTTTTTTAGATCCCGCCTTTCAGCGTAAAACTTTGGTACTTTTGGGAGCCCATGGAGTCGGCCGTCGCCATATCAAAAACACAATAATTGCAAAGCATCCTGATAAATACGCCTATCCAATTCCACGTAAGTTATATTTTAGTAATGAATTATTTTTTCATTCATTTCAAATTTTAAAGAGAAAGAATCCTAAAGAAGTTTAATAATTAAATTATTCAATTAACGATTAAGTAATTAAATATTGAAAAATAATTTTTAGTTATAGAATTTATATCAAAATTTTATTTTTAGATACAACGAGGCCTCCACGAAACGACGAAGAAAATGGACGCAATTATTATTTCGTATCGCATGATGAAATGATGGCAGATATCGCTGCTAATGAGTACCTGGAATATGGCAAGAGAATTTTTTTTTTTTGTAAAATAGAATTACTAAAAGATGAAAAATTTTACTAACAAACAATTATATATTTTTTTGTACAGGAACCCATGAAGATGCCATGTATGGGACGAAATTAGAAACAATAAGAAAAATACACGAAGAGGGTAGAATGGCAATTCTTGATGTAGAACCACAAGCGTTAAAAGTTTTGCGCACAGCCGAATTTGCGCCTTATGTTGTTTTCATTGCCGCACCTGTACTTCAAAATATTGCCGACGTGAGTTTTTTTTCGAAATTAGATTTAATTATTATGCGTTTAATTTATTTATTTTAAGTGATTTTATTACTTGTATTTGAATTAATTTATCCAAAACAAATATTGTGACTATTTTTTATCATTTGATTTACAAAAAAAGTCTAGTTTGACAAACATTCATGTGAATATTTATATGTGAAATACTAAATATATATATATGTTTCGTTTAACTCGCGCTCTGATAACATTGCGAATAAGTAATTTTATTAACATGCATAATATGAGCTTATCAATTATTTCGATTCAGTGAATAATTAAGTTTCCGTTAAAAATATTCATGTTAAAAGGAATGAGTAATTTAATCAGTATATCATTTAAATCAACATAATTATTTTTAATTAAATTGACTGTCAGTTATTTAAACTGCTTATTCAGTACGAATATTAATATAAAATTATTTATATTTAATTATAAATGATAAAAAATAATAAAATTAAAAATATTGTTTTCAGTACGACGGAAGCCTGGAGCGCTTGGCGAAAGAGTCGGATATGTTGAAGCAGGCGTACGGTCATTTTTTCGATCTGACGATTGTAAACAACGACATTGAGGAAACGATTGCACAATTGGAGGGTGCTATTGAGAGAGTTCACACAACGCCACAGTGGGTGCCAGTTTCGTGGGTCTACTGACAGCGGATTTCGCCAAGTCGTTCGATTTTGACTTCCGACTGTAATGGTGCATCCAGAGGAAAGCAGTAATTTGTCAAAATGGAAAGTCCAACGACTTGTGCGTTGACGAGAGATTCGCATGGATACATCGAATGGGAACATCAGGTGATTAAGGCACAATGATAGATCAATCAAAGAAAGAAAAAAAAATTGTCGTCATCGACCAAAAAAAAAAAAAAAAAAAAAAAAAAATGTTATTGGTCTATGATGATGACACGACTCGGGTGTGATTGTGGTCGTGTGTTCATAGAAAATGAAAAAGAAAGAAATTAATTAGTAGGTTATTTAATGATCAAAGTCAAAGCTTCCGTGTCTGTGCAAAAATATATTGAGAACCTAAAATGCCTCAGAGACTCGGAAAAAAAGTGATTTTTAGGAAAATCGCGATTTTTTTTTTGTTTTTTTTTCTCCCCCTTATTGATTATTATTATATAAATAAAAGAGAGAAATGAATCACGAAACGACGATGGATCACACCTCTTTGCAGATCGTCGAAGACTCCTTTCAGGCGAAGCAATGTGTATTTTTCCGCGTTTCGCAAAGAAAACAAAAAAAAAAAAAAAAAGAAGATAAACGAAACTTACTCGCACTCGGGTAAAATAGAAAGCACTCGAATTTAGGTGGATCATGACTTAAGTTTAGCAAAATTCTCAATATCGTCGAAATAAGAAAGGTGATTGAAATAAAAAAGGACTTCTTTCGAGCAATTATATAAATGACGAGCGCTGCCCTTATTCTATTATCTCTATTCTATAAGTCATTCCTATCCTACAGACTGTAAGATTTCCAAGCAAAATTATTATTATCCACTGCAAATAATGTCCATTAAATACTAACAGTCGATATCCAATTTTAGAATCTAAACACTTGCTTCGTCGAGTTTGTAGCGCTTCTCCGTATACTTTTGCAGTTCACGCATTTCTTTTTCTTTCTCTCTCAAGACTGCGGTTACCATTCATTATCAAAATTTCAAACTAATTTTAATATTTCTAATTAATTTAATTGACAAAAGTTTTTCTAACTTTATTGTTGAAAATAATTTAAAAAATTTATTATTTAATTGCCAAAATGCAAAAATTGTTTAAATATTATGAAAATATTACATTTTTTGCACGTTTAGAAAAGTTAAAAATGAAATTAATAAAACGGTAAAGTCTGGTAACCTTGTAAAAGAAAAGTCTTTCACATCCAATCTCTTTTCTTCCTTCGATAAATTGCAAAGCGTGTTCCGCTCTCTTTTTTTTCCTTCTAATCGGACTGTATGTTTCTCGACAGTCATGTATCCACCCTTCCTTTCGTTATAATATTTCTTTCTCAAATGCATTATTTTTGTCAGACTGAGCTCATTGTTCCCAGGAAGAAGGAAATTTCATTTCTTATCAAATTCAAAAAACTTGTCAATAATTTCCAAAAAAAAATTCCTTTACACCACACTAATAATCAAAATAAACAATTTTTAAGTTAGAAAAAAAGGAAATACAAATTAAAACATAAAAATAGAATTTAAATGAATGGAAAAATTTTCCCAACAAGAAAAAATGAAACGAAATAAATTGAAAAATTAATATTTCCTTCCTGATGGGATCAGTAGTTGAGCGTCACAAAGATTTAGCTCTTTGTGAGGGCTCTTGTATATCCAAACATAGACTGAGATACGTATTGCAATACTTAAAAAAAAGTATAGAATCACTCGGTTCGCAATTACCCTCGTACAAAGAATATAATCGAATGGCGGAGTAACGAAAATGTTACATAGGATATTTATGAAGTTACAATCTCAATAAATAGATAGTTTACCAGCTATATAAAAATAATTAACGACTTAAAAAACACAAAGAGAAGCGCTCCTACGTACACAGAGATTTAACAACTAGTTAAAATGATTGATCGATTGATTAATGAAATAACAAAAAAAATAATTAATTGTGTAACTAATTAATGCTGAATTACTAGGAGTCTAAATAAAAAATTTGAATACGCAAAACCCGTAGGAATGGCGGAATGAATGCGATTAATGTTGTCAACTTGAAAATTTCAAAATGTCACAAAGTCAAGAAAATATTCTCTCATTTTCTTGAAACGTAGGTAAAATATTCAGCTACTTAAATTAAGTATGTCAATTGTTATTAGAAAAAAAAAAAAAAATTTTCTTCTATAGGAAAGAATTTTTCCTTCTTTTTTTTACTGAAATTTAATATTTCAGTTAATTTTGTTTGACGTTCCTGTACATTTTTCGTGTGACGAATCTTATTAAGAAAAATTAACATTTTTTTGTGAAAAAAATGTTATTTTTTTAAAAAAGAAATCAATTTTTTTGTGAAATTAATAAAAAAAAAAAAAAAGTTGACAACACTAAGAAATATGACACACGTGTGACCCTGTCCAGAATTTATTAGGCACAAAATCTAAAATAAAATCATGCTTTTAACTAGATTCTCCTTCGAATTCTCCAAATTCCTCATAATTTCCCATCCTTAATGCACTCTCTCGCATCAGAATATTTAATGTAGAAAACACTCCCAGGTAAAATTTTATAGAAATTTTCTGATAATTCGGTGCTGATAATAATATATAATCGGCATAAAAAAAATAGTCGCGCGAAAAGCATCATTGAGTATTTTTTACATATAATGGCAAAATATTTTCATCTGCCGAATGAAGAAAAAGAAAAAAAAAAGCGACTTGAAAAACACACGAAGGTTCTGAACAGGCGTCATTGCACGAGGTGGAATGTATCGTCGGATCATTGAGTGATCAGGAGCGTTAGTGCAATTTTATTAGCAATTTAAGCCCGTCGGTTTATGAATCTATTGAATGATTGTTACATGGAATTTATCCAAAGCGAAATGTACGCATGCGATTGTGAGAAAACAAAACAAAAAAAAATAAATAAAGAAACAAAAGAACAACCAATCATAAGTGATTTTGTAATATTTCTTATCGGTTGTAGCTGCCATATCCAGTAAATAAATATTATAAGTATGATACCGAAAAAAAATAGATTTTTCGGTAAGTGCGAATCATGACATTGTGTTGTTGGCCAATTGGATAAGAATGGGCGTGTTGATAGCGTTTATTTGCTGACAAGAGTGTCTTTATGAAAGTGGATGATTTAGGATAAGATGTTGGAATGACGACGGGTCTAAAAAAACAACAGTTCATTACAATTATGTGATTATAAACGAGAGGAAGAGACGAAGAGTATTATAAACACGTTGTTAATTGAATTAATAAAATTAGCCCAAAGTAATAAATTATATTTTCTTCTTCATTTTCAATCCTTAAATGTTAATTTTTAGTCTCTTAAGGTTTTCTTTTCCAAATTTTGGTACTATTCTCATATTTTACAGAATTATCTTGAGGAAAATAAAATAGACTTTTCTTTAAAAAATACAATCTTCTACTTTTACTTCATTTTCTTTTATACAATTTGTAATTAATCTTAAAACAGATTAAGTTTATTCACATAATGTAGAAATATGGCTAGAATATTAAATATAACTAATGAATATACATTATCGATAAAAATATTTACTGTTCTCTGTAATATTTTTACAAGTTCGATGAGGAGAGTTGATTTTGTCGAGAACGAATTTCAAGTACACAGCCTTTGTATTTAAATTCATAATATACAAGATGATAAATCTTGTAAAATTAGAATCAAAAATAAATCTTGTAAGATTATTTATGTTTTCTCTTGAGAGGATGTTTTCTAATTCCAATTTTTTGTCTAGTTGGTTCCATTGGTGGTACCATTAAATCTGCTTGTGTTTCTATTGTCGTGCAATTATTTTGCTCCATGGGAAATAAATATTCCATATTAACATCATACCTTAAGAAAGAAGAAAATGATGATAGTAATAAAATTTATATTGTTAATTATAATTAAAATATATGAAGATTATAATTTAAAAAATTGTAGATAAAAGTAAATTTTTTTCTAAACTATATATATAATTTGTTAACCAACCTGAGAAGTTTTTCTTTCAAATAGGAAATTACGTTAACTCCAACACTAACTTCTCGACTCATAATGAAACTAGATAAGTACCGTGGACTCTTGCTCTTCTCGGCACAATGCATCAATAACGCCCACGATTTATAGTCCGTGTCTAAAACGTAGGTGTTATAAACCCCTTCATCTGCATTTGAAATAAAAAAATAACAATCCAGTCAAATGGGTTTTGTACGCAATGTTATTGTAAGTTATTGTAAAATAAACTTGAATTATTGCGAGGTTGAAATATCTCTTAAATCTTGAATTTAATATTCAAGAGTTTTATTTTTCAAATTTCGAGGTTTCAAATTTCGAGATTACATAATTCAGATTAAATTTCATGACTCTAAAATTTTAATATTAAAAAAATTCTATATTTCAATTCAAATTTCAAATTCACATCAATTCAAAAATTCAATTTAAATTCAAAATTTGATAAAGTTCAGAATACAATAAAGATTTAAAACAAGAAAAATATAAAATTAATTATAAAAAAAGAATAAATTTAGAAATTAATTGATTAAAAGAAATCGAGTATCTTAATATGTTGAAAGTGATTAATTAAAAAGTTCTTACAAGGTTCTTCGGCATGAACCCAGTGAGCTGGTAAATCTGGAGAAGGAATTTTCCAGGTGATGTTCCCAATTAATTGTTCATTAATTGGATCATCGACGAAGCTGTAGGTAAAGTTCATAGTTACTTCGTCATTTTCAGAAGACACTGAAAGTTCTGCCTTCATGCACCTGTAGGCAAGAGCCTCCTCAGAACTTGCATAGTATTCAACTACATACCATATTCCCAAAAACTAAAAATTAAAAGTAAAATAACATTATATTTTATTTAGAAAAAGAAATTGTCATTTATTCTCGAAAGTTGAAAAATTGATACATTAAGAAGAAAAATGATAAATTGTTTAAACTATTTTATTTTACATATTAAATAATCGCACGTCTTTTATATAATGTTCTGATAATCTAGAAAATCTAAAATATACGCAAAATGTACTATTTCCGGCACGTTAAAATTTATGAGTAGTCGAATCCAAGCAGCTCTCTAACACTTTACTTCCAGATTTATTGCATTCCGCTCGGAGATACGCTTGCTTTGCAATTCTATTCCTCTCACTGTGGTCAAATGTAAATATTGAAATTTATAATTTTTCAAACAAGAATTTTTAATAAAATGAAATGAAATATTAATGGGCATTAATTTTAAAGAAATATTTTTATTAAAATCGAAGATTTAATTTATATTATGAATTATTTCTTTTTATTAATAATTAATTTAATAATACGATGGTATAAACCAAACAATTAAGTTATCTAATAAAATAAATTACAAGTGAAAAATGATTTTATTTTGATGTTAATAAAAAAAAATCATCACTACTGTATTTCTAGTTGATAAACGGTTTCGTGTTTTCATATCTTTTCGATATAGATAATTTTAACTTTTGTCTAGGAGCATGAATCACTGTGATTTAAAAGCATGTTTAGACGTAAAATTTTACTTTGGGGTATAATAATATTCAAACTTTTATCTAAAACAGATAAATCATTTCTTCTGGAATTGTTAAATATTTGAAAGATAAACTAGTTATGTTTCAGTTACAAAAAGAAGCATATAAGCTTAAATAAGAGTCTATGAATTTTAAATGGAAGAACATTTCAAATTCGCAAACTCATGTATGAAGACAATCTCGAATTTAAAATGATCCAATAAAAAGAATTTTGACAATAATTTTCAATTTCTCCATATTATTTCTTCATTACCTAATAATAAAAGAAATAAAAACAAAAAGTTTAATAATTTCAAATATTTGAATTAGATAACAATTTGACGTATCTGAAATTGTTTTCATTTTTTATTAGCTTATTTAAAAGGAATTATTTTTGTTTATTTAATTGAACAGTATTATTTACGTAATTTTAATTGTTAATCTTACCTCGGAAACATCAAAGTCCCTGATAGCTTTTACTTTCGGACATTGAGAATTATCTTCTTCACTATCCCAATATGAACCTTTTGTATTTGTTGCAAAATTGATGATTATTATTAAAATAACACTAATAAAAATGTTTAAGCACTTTATTCCTGAAGTCATACTTGTTTAATATAGACTCTATCATGCCGTAGCAAAGCACGAGTCCACTGTATCGTATAAGAGTTTCTGCGGTCTATAGCTAAATGTCTGAGCTCGACTAAACTAAAAAATAAAAGAAGAAGCATCATCAAGACCAACAACTCTGACTTCAGAGAAAGAGTGAAAGAGAGGAGGGGGTGACCACTATCTCCCTTCCTCCCTTTTGCATTCCACTTTCGTCGTGCCGTTCCATTCGTTTTCAATCGCTAAGTTATTCTACGCCATTCTATACACTTACACAAACTGACTCCCCCGCAGTGCGTTACCATCCCATGAATACGTAAATTGCTCATTTCAAAGCAAATAACAATACGATGAATTTTGAAAAGATACTAGTCCAACTCAATGTATTAGCTTCGTTCTCATTTCTTCTTTTTCTTCGTTTTTTCAAACCATTTGAACATTCACTAACTTTCCTTCGACAAGTCATTTTTTTTTTTTTTTTTTTTGCAAAAAATTGACGAGTCGAGCAAATTTCCATCTAAAATATTCCAAAACAATTTTTGTTTATTGCTCTTTCATTTGCATTTCTTCTTTTTTATATTCACGATTTTTCTGTTTGAAATGATTTTTCAGGACAGAGCAATTTTCACGTATTTAATTTTGAACTTTCTCATTTTTTTTTTATTCGGAGAAAAATGAAAATACAAAAGCTGCAATTAGTGATTTAAAAGCATTTTTTTCCCCTCTCGTTTTTTGTGAGGACCACCCAAAGAGAGATATGTAGACATCATTCATAGACGGAGATTTGAATCATAAAGATCGACCCCCACCGACTTCGCATTATTTATTAATAGATCTTGTGTCCTTAATATTCTAAGAGGGGCTTAAGAATCTCCATTCATATTTGGTTCATATCTGAGATAAATTTCAGTTTAAGAAATAGAAGATTGGCCAATTTTATTTTTTCAAGTCCCTTTTTATAATAAATCTTGACAATATAATTAATTCTCAACATAATTTCCTCTCAATTAATAAAGCATTTTTTTCTTCTTCTCAATATAACTTTCATATAAACAATTAAGTCTAATTTGACAATTAAATTCATAAATGCTTTCTGTTTATGTGCTATTTTCATTATTATTCTAGAAACACTGTGAACAACGAATCAGCAGCGTTTGTAACGTTAGTAATCGGGAATACCATCTCGTGCTAATAGAACGTGGCGCACATACAAATGTGTTTTAGATTTCCTTTTGTTCTTCCTATCGCTATACAGATTTACAAACTGCTTACTCATCACATCCTTCCCCTAAATGAGTATTTTCGGCAACTTCGGGTTTTCTAATGTTTATTCAACTATTTTTATTTTCTTTATTTTTTTTTCTCTGACACCTTAGTTTTCTTCTTGTATTTTCTTATTTGTAAAAGAAAAATGTATCTTGAGTGTATTCTTTAAACACCATGACCTTTCAGAATCATATTTTTGGCACCGGATGACATTTATTATTATTTTTGTTTTTTTGTAGTTATACGATTCGGACTTCCTCTGCACAAAAATAGTTGCAAAGATAAAGTGCACGTGTCGCAATAAAAAAAACAATTCAAAGATAAATTCAAAGTTGATTAATTAGTTTCCTGAAAAAATACAAACTATAATAATAATTAAATAAATTTAAATAATCAAATCGGATTAAAAATCTATCATTTTTAAATAATAAAAATAAGATAATAAATTAAATAAAAATTCTATTTGTTTTTTTTTTATTGTTTCATAGATGAAATTTCTACTTTTACAATGGTAACTCAACGTGGAAGACTTATGCGAAATAATTATTATTAAGAGAACGGAAATAAATTTCTCGCAGATAAATTTTATATCAAACCGACAAACTTATCGAACATCCTTTTCCTTTATATTCTAACATTCATTACATGTAAAATTTATCTTTCATGATACTACATTTACCTATATATAATTAAAAAATTTATTTTTATTACACATATATTTATTTTAAATTAAAAAAATCATGAAAATAAAGAAAAATATATTCAATAAAAAATATAAAGTAAAAACAAAATAAAAATAGTAAAGAAAAATAGATTTTTTTATTTTTGTTATAAAATATGAATATTTATAATTTAAAACATTTTAAGCTGCTCGAAATAGTTTAAAAATTAAGATTACGTTTATTTAAAAAATATACAAATTATTTTATTAAAAACATTTTTGTTTTATAAAAATTTGTACAAATGTTTATAAATTGTTAATTTACTAATTAATAATATGCATAATTACAACTATTTTAGATGTAAAATAAAATCTACCTCGTCAATGCCTTCGTCCAAGGATATCATCCTTTGAGAGTTCTGTCATTTCCACGGAGGTTTCGTTTTTACAGGATCTACTTTTTCGATTACTTTCTGAGGCATCGGGAAATATTCACTTTCATCATGAATACTTGGCTGCAAAAAAATTATTTAATTATTAACAAAAAATGAAATGATAATAAATTTCTTTGTTGATAATTTACCTCAGAGGTAGGATGCCACGTAATACTGTCTTCGCTTAAAATGCTCAATTCTTTTTTCGAATAATGCTTCCTTGGAAAATTTTTGTCCACATCATTTTCGATAAATTTTGCCTTTGTAAATTCATCTCTCGATTGTTGCATATCTAATATCTGAATAATAAATACTTGAATGAAATATTGAAATTAAATCTGATTAATTAATTAATATATAAATCAACGAAGTGTATAAAAAAGTATCAGAATCTGACGAACCATTTTGATATATTTTCGAAGATCATTTTTTGAGTCTTTTTTATTTTGTGTTTCTTCGTTTGAAGTCAATGTAATTAAACTGTCATTGTGTTCCTCTTGGGCATGTAAGCCTTGAAAATGTTTTGCATGAAATTGATGATTTTTATTAATATGTGACTCTAGTTTCATTGGTTCTGCATTCATCGGTTGTTTTATTTCGAAATAATTCTCAGCACTAATCCTTTGAAGAGACGAAACACTATCACCGTTTCCACCTGTAAGTAAAAATTTCTTAATTAATCTATTAAGTAATTAATATAATTATTCATTATTGTAAGAAATTATACCTGATATTATACGCAAAGCCTGTTGCCACTGATTCTGCATAACAGAATGAAGTTGTTCAGCTAAATGATTTTTACTCGTTCGTTGAGTATTCAATTGTGATTCTAACATACAAGATTTTTGTACTGCTTGCGCTAATTGAATTTCGCATAATCTCTTTTCTTCCTTATGCTTCTCTTCCAATAGTTTTACTTCTAACTGATGTCTGCAAATTCGAAATCATTACTATGTTTTAATTTATTTTATTAATGAAATTTAATTTATTACTTTAATATATTGAATTTCAATGAATTTTTGTAGTCATTTCCTGGTACAAATTGTAAATCTAAAAGCGACAACAGTGAAAAATATTGCACTCACTTGTCAATAACACTTTTTATTTTTCTAGCTGCGCATTCAGCTATCGCTCGTTGTCTTGTTTCGAATTCCGTCTGAAATGTTGCTTCTGCTGTATCGAGTTGAGTTTGAAACTCTTGTAATTTAGATTTCACTACCTCATCCACTTGTTTCTGATATATTTCTCGAAGTTCTGCTTTGATTTTATCCTGCTGCTGATTCAAAGACTTAATTTCATCCTTGGCTAATTTCTACGAAGAAAAAAAACACGATACTTTAATATTTTTCAAATCCAAGAGAAAAATCATTATAAATGTAAATGAAGAAAATATTCTTTTTGAAAAAAGAAAATTAAAAACTTAATTTCTAAATGTTTTAAAAAAAAGTTAGAAACAGATTTAAATTATTTTCTTTTAAGAAATAATAAAAGCAAATTAACATTACCTCTGATTTTTTGACGTCATCAATCATAGCAAGTAAAGAGACGTTCTTTTGTTCAAGAATACTGTTTCTGTTTTGTTCCTCCCTTACTTTCAACTGTAAACTTTCCTTCTCCTGACGAAGTACAGTTAATTCTGCTTCACAAGTATCAAGAGCTTTGTGAATAACTGCCATTTCAGACCTCACCTCGCCGCCTTTTAACCTCTCCTTATTCAATTCTTGTTGAACATTCTTCAAGGTTTCTTCAGTGCGGTGATTCTTTTCCAATAGTTTATTGCAGTCTTCTTTCATCTGATCGTATCTTTTCTCAGCTTGTTGAACCAATAGTTTGTAATTCTCCAATTCATCTGCGTGGCTTTTCAGAATGTCCACCTTCTCTTTGACCAGGCAATCGCTTTTCTCTTTATAGCCTGACGCAAGGTCCAAAGTTTTTGACAATTCGCCCTCGAGTCTTTTGATTTGTGCTTGAAATTCACAAATTTCCCCTTGATGTTTCTCCGTTATTGTTTTAATTGAACGTTGTAAATTATTGTAATCCAATTCAAGTGTTTGCCATCGATCTTTTAATTTCATCCACGATGATTGAAATTGTGATATTACCAAATTTTTCTCATTATCAACGCGTATTGCGACTGCAACTTTTTCCTGTTGCTCGAGTAATCGTTTTTGTAATTCTTGAATTAAAAATTCACAATGCTGAAACAAAATAAGAATTTTTAGATAAAGTTGAAACTGATTTTTTTAAATTAAAAAACAAAATCGTAGCTAATTCACCTCTCTTCGAAATTTCTCCTCTTCCAATTTAATTCTAAGCATTTCTTCGTTAGATTTGTTTGTATTTGTGTCCCAAAAGTCGGAAAGAGTAAATAATCTCTGTGTTTTCCTAAGTGAAGAAAATTGAAATTTATTTTTTTTTTAAATATAATTATTTTTTAAAATAAAAAATATAATTAAGAAACAAACCTTTCCGTATTGGTAGATACATTATTTGTACTTTTTGTCCTCGTTGTAGAACGTGTATCATCTTTATTACTTTCCGCGTAACCATGTAATTGTCTTCCAAAAATATCAAAACCATCAGCAGGTGGTTCTGGGATTTTAAAAGGATTTAAATTAAGATTCTTAACTTCATTTTCGATATCTTGCAAATTATCCAAACTAATAAAATTTTTACATTTCTCCTGAAATGGTTCATCGTTCTGTTTAAATTGAACAGATAATCGAGATTTTTCAGAATCATTAATTTGTCCATTATCTGAATTTCCACTAAGTACTGGCAGTGATTGCGTATGTAAATTATCTGTTTTAGTTTCTAAATTTGTGGATTTTTTTTCAACAACATTATTTGTCATTTCGGCAGGTACTTTAGATTCTTTCCAATTTGGAAATTCATGGTAAGCACTTGGTTCCCAGTCTTTATATTCGGATAGCATTTTTTCAGTTTGAATAAATTGTAAAGTCTCATCGAATGGCACGGAAAGATCAAGTAATTTATCACTAATTTGTTTACTTGGACTACTTTGCAATAATGAATCATAAAATGAAAGTTCTTTTTCATCTTTATCAAAATCTAATCTCTTGTGTGGTGTTGAATGTTTTCGAGAATTTCCCCCTGCTCGAAATTGATCATGATTTAATTTTGATTTTTGTACATTTTGCGAATCTGTATTGCTAATTCTTTTTGCTAATTCTAATTCCGTGGCTTCCATCTCTTGCAAGAGTTCATCAACTTGCGAGAGATTCATGTCCTTGATTTGTTTCACCTTGGCATAGGCTTGTCCTAATTGACAAGATGAATTGAAATTTTTTGGTAAGGATTTTAAAGATTTCTCGTGCGTTTTAGTATTGGAACCATTCCCAGATGAAATTAAATAATCGTGCGATAATAATGAGCAAGTACCCTTTTTTGGGGAACGATTTGCATGCATGAATCCTGTATTTTGCGAAGCGGAGCGTTTCATGGAAGCGTCTGGTAATGACATTAAATCACCATGCTTTGTTCGTGAATGAGAGTTAGAATTAATTAAATGATTATTATTATTATTATTATTGCTAGCAAGGCGATCACAAATGTTTCTTGAATTAAACAGGATATCGTTAGTACGATTATTTGATGATGACAACAATGTTCTTGGTGTTGATGGCACCGAAGAACTGGTACGAGGTTTATCAGGACTATTTTCTAAGCTTGAATTATGACTTACGGAAAATTTGGTTTTAGGTAGTGTCCGCCTACGACTTATGGGACTCGAATAGGAAGCGCGTCTTGGAAGTTCTAGTGAATTGTTGAGAGATGTATCCAAACTGTTGTCCTTGGACTCGATGGCGGAAACCCTATTTTCAAGAGATTGTAAATGTCCAATTAATTCCGAAACAACACCAGGTTTTGTTCGACAAGAATTTTCTTCATCAGATTCAGAGGAGGGCACAATAAATAAATCCGGGGGAATTAAAAGTAAAACATCCGTATCATCGGAATCACTCATTATACACACTTTTTCCTCTCATTATAATAAAAATTATTCCAATTAAAAAAAAAAAAGTGAAAAGAAAACAATCACAGTTATAAATTAATATAAATTAAATAAATCACTTAAAAACTTTTTACTAGAATTATTATTTAAAATGATTTAAAAAAATATTTGTTTCATTTTAAGGTTAAGTTAAACTGCATTATATTATACTTGTTTGGAACATACATTTTCTATTTACACTGCACAAGAAAAATATCCAATTCTTTTTTATCTTGATATTTTGACTGTAAAAATTAACACTTGACTACGAAATAATGATTAAACAATGTTAGAAACAAGTGTAAACAAACGACTCAAACATGACGCGCTTCAAAACACATAACCTAACCGTTTTTTGTTGTGTGGCGTTATCCAACAAGCGCCGGCGTCACACATCTGCTGTCAATTTTCATTCTTCTTTTCAATACCGTAGTGACATCTCTAGACTTCATTCAGACATTCCAGGCAATTTTATATACCATATGGTAACACTGCACTTTATTTTTTTTTTGACAGCTGTCAAAATATGTAAACAAACACTGTGCGTAACTTGTAAGCTGCAACCTATCACGGTGTCATGCCTCTTGACATAGAAAAAGCAGTTCCACAGGGGCTGGGTGGTACTTGCAATTAGCAAAATGTTCTAACTGAATAATAAAGCAGTTTTAATTATATAATATAGATAATAATATTAATAATAGCAAAAAATATTTTAAGTACGTTAATAATTCATTATAAATATATATTTAATATTCATTATAAATAAATTAATTTTATAATAATATTTAAATAAATGAGAATAAAATAACTTCTTTTTTTAATTTCAAACTTTTTCAATTTATTTTTATATTTATTATAATATAATACTATTTATTATTAATTATTATTAATTATTATTATTTATTATTATTTATTATTTATTATTATTATTATTATTATTATTATTATTATTATTATTATTATTATTATTATTATTATTATTATTATTATTAGGTACCTATTATTATTAAAAATTATTAAAGGTATATAAATTAAAATATTTTATACAGTAATAAATTAATAGTGAAGATTTTTTGTTTGTTTATTTTTTTTTTAAATTAAATAAAATTTTTTAAAACACGAAATGTGGTTTTTATATGTTTATATGCGAAAAAGAATATTTTTCCACATTTACCTGGAAACATGTCTTTACGAGATGTGAGTGAAATTTCACGCATTTCTAGAAAAAAAAAATCCGACTGTAAAAAAATTTCACAGGAAAAAGAACTTACGATCATTTTTTCTTAGACATTTGCACTCTTAAAATATTTTCCTTTATTTTCTTTTTTTAAGGCTGATGTAAGATGTAAATTTTTAAATATTATTCCATCATATACAAGAAGCAATATATTATATACCTACAAATTTTAAAAATAATTTCCTTCTTCTTTTTGTAAATAAAAATTTATTTATAAAATTTTTATATAATATAAACAATATAATTTATATTTATATGATAAATTTATAAATAAATATTTAATATTATAATTAATATTTATTTTAAGTTAATATGAAGTTAAATTTTATATAATATATTGTATATTAAATATTATAAAAATTAAATATTGGATAATAAATTGAAATTGTTAAAAAAATATTATAAAATACATAATAATGTATAATAATTTTAAAAGGCAAATTTATTAGTATATAATAATGTTACAAGTAATCGTCAGTGTCGGCGCAATTATGATCGATATTGCCAAAGGATCTTTGAAGGATACCACTTGAGTTTCTGCTAGACGAGGCAGTCTGTGAGAAATAACTTCGTTGCCAGAAATTTAACAAGAAACGATCAATAAACCAGATTGGTGAAAGTGGACAAAAAAAATTGTGTTTAGTACAAAATGTTGATTTTTAACAATATTAAAAAAAAAATTAACAAGAATTAATAAAATCATATTATTCCTCAGTGAAAATAAAATATTAAAAAGAAAACAAATTATACAATCAGATAAATTTTTTTATTTCCGTTTATATTTAAGAGAAATATACAATTTATTTGAATCAAATAAAAATATATTTTTTTATTTGTATCAAATAAATTTCATTTGTCTTAAATTTTATCTATAAAATTATTTGAGTATTTATAAATAAATTATTTATTTATTATAATAAATATTTATTTGTCTGGGAGATAAGTATAAGGAAATATTTTAACTTGAATATACACAATAGGGACATTGGTCTTGTGGTTTTCTGAAATTTCCCTCTGTTTATCTCGCAAAATTTATCTTTACTATGCCCACCAAAGATGAAAATCTTAATTTCATCCCTCTCTTCCAATTCGGCTAAAATGAGTTTTTTACACATATATTCTTATCCGCGCATCATTACCATTACTTTATTTCAATCTTCATAATCGCTATTATACACTTATGCTAAACGCTGTTACGGGATATTTGCTTAAATTGGTTCATATTTTTTTTTACACAAAATGAGATAATAAAGATGGTTAAAAAATTAGAAAACTTTTCTATAGTTTAATCATTTTATAATGGTTATGTCTTTATTTTAGTCTAAGTAGTAAAACAAAATTTTAGTCAGACACAACTTTTTTAAAATATATATATATATATTATAAGTAGAAAAAGGGATTTTGGTCAAACTGAATTATTAAATTTTTTATAATTTTTAGAATTGTTAACTTTTTGCTTGCAGTAGTAAAAAGGCAGTTAAAGTCAGACAAAACTATTTTGAAAGAACATTAATTATTATTATTAGAATTTTATTTTTTTTATCAGATAATTCGAAAAGCAGTTTTCAAAATCATTGTGCGAAAATTTAAAAATTTTTTTTAATAATCGTTTATGGCGAAGGTACATATTGCGATCATTTTATATATTTATTCTTTTTTTTTTTTTTAGCGCGACAACGAGACCGTTAGTAAAATTATTTAGAACACTCATAATCATGAATTCGGTTCGTTCATGTGGTTCTGGTCGCGGGTGCTGTTGCAACCGCGTTCTGCCAATTACGGTAATCGATATTTAATGTTTATGACCCAGGTAAGCCATGCAGGCGATTTCTGAAGGGCTTCTGGCCATAAAGCGTAAACTTTAACCCACAAGCGAATGGCACCTAATTCCGCAATAATACCACGTACAAGCCCATTACCAATTTGTCCCTTGTCTATATACATACATAGAACTCTCTCTCTCTATATATATAGGTATCAAAGCATCTTCAACTTTCCCAGTTTCCTTCAACTTTTCATCCGCAAAAGATATCTTCAAACTTTATACAAAAGTTAAGTAATTAATTTTATTTACAATCTATTAATTATTACATTGAAGAAAAATTGGTACAAATACAATTTATTAAATTCAAATAAAAATTATTTAAGTAAATTGATAAGTAGAGGAAAATTTTTCATTGTACAATAAATTAATAAAATTTATTATCAAAGAAAATATTAATAATATTGCAATACAAGAAAAGTAAGTGAATGAATTTTTCTTTTTTGTTTATTAAAATTAAAAAAAAATTAAAATAGAATATAATTGAAAGATAAACACAGCAGTTGTGCATTGAATTAAAAAAATACCTTAACGTAATTTACTTTTGTTTTTAGAATTTAAAATATATAATTCATAACAGTGTATATATGTATAGTGGACTTGGGATGAATGCGCAAAAAGGGAAAGATTTTTAATTAGAGACAAGCATTGTAATTAAATGGTTTTATGAAAACATTTAATTGTATGTGTATGTATGTGTGTATGTGTTGTGACCGACTTTAATTTTGTATACAAAATAGAGAATGTTATACTGGTTGAACTGCTGTCCGTTGAAGTCCACTGCACTCTGCGGTCTGACCAACATGACTGGATCAGTAGAAATCGCACAATGAACACGGTCGAGAATAAAGAGAGGGACCTAGTCCTCTCTCGTGACTTGATTGAAAACTAACTTTTGCCATGAGCTTACACCAGCTTATTCGTAATGGTCATTTCCAGCTTAATTTACGCTATCTGCCTCTCCCGAGTAATTTGCAATTTCAATGCGTCCTCTCGTTTTTCGGATATATATATATATACACCTCTCTAATAATCGTCCGTCGAAAGTAAAACATCGCTAACAATTGTGAGTCGGTTTTTTTCTCAATTTTCACATAAATGGAATAACTGAAACGAATAAAAAAAATTAAATATAAAACATTCGAAATATTTGGATTTTAATAATTTTACAAAGTAATATTAAAATTATTTGGATAATTATTGTCTGACCAAAACTGCCTTCACTACTGATACATTTTTTCAGAATATATTAGTACTAAAAATTATCAGTTTATTTGTCTGACTAAAACTGATTTTTACTACTACAAAACATAAATTATTCGATTTTTAAAAGTTATGTCTGACTGAAAATTACTTTAACTACTAGTTTGAAAATAATAGAAGTTTGTGTCTGACTAAAATTGACATTTACTACTGCAAAACAAAAACTATTGTAATTTTCAACGCTATGTCTGACTAAAAACGAATTTCACTACTAGTTTGAAAATTAAAAATATTTTGTCTGACTGAAAATGACTATTACTACTTTTTGAAATATAATAAATGAATTTTCAACGATTTGTCTGACTAAAACAGTATTTCACTACTGATATATTTTTTAGTGTATATTAGTACCCAATCAAAAATTTACTAATGGCGCAGTACTGGCGCAGTACTGACAAATACTGGCGCAGTACTGGCACCCAGTATTGGCGCCAGAGTTGGCGTAACTTTGGGATGATAACATTTTACCAGTATTGGCTACCAGAGTTGGCACCAGTATTGGTAACCACTACTGGTTCAGTACTGGTCGAGTACTGGCAGTTTTGTAATTTATTGTATACGAAAAGAAAGCTTTAACTGTAACAGAGATAAGTTTCACTCCAGGTAATACTTTTTTGGTATACTTAGGAAAAAGTGTCTGAAATTTTTAGTAACTCAAGACAAATTAAATATTAATTAAATTAGTCAACTAACTAATTAATATTTTATTATATAAAATCGAAAACACAAAGAATTTCCATACCTTCTTATAATATATATTGCAAATTATTATTTAAAAAATCAAAAAATAAATATAAAAATATGTTTATTATAAAACCAAAGTTTTTATAATATATAAAAACAGTTCAGTAAAAATAAAAATGTTTATAAAATAATTATATAATGTATATAATTATGCAATTAACTATTTAATTATTTTATTATTCACATTAATTTATTAATTATTATATCAAATATAAATAAATTAACATTAAATTCAATTCAATTTACATAAAACAAAATTAGTTTACAAATTAACTCATCACAAATATAATGATTTAATAAATAATGAATATACTAAATTCCTGAAATTAGGTAATTA